AGTACAAACTACTAGATGGTGTGAAGAGTGTGACCTGGTTCTTGACAGCTATATTGCCTGTTTCTGAGATTGTCGGCATGCGCTTACTGTACTGTCATACTGATGTGAAGTAGTAACATCTTTTTGAAGAGAGACCTGAAATATCATCATTCTCTGATTTATTGATTATGCTAAGAAAGAGACAGTTGACAAGGTTTGTAGTATAGTGAAGCAGCAGCTGGCTCTTCCCGATGGGACTGCTCTCACTGGCGAATCAAAATTCCCGCTGAACTTGTGCTGATTCACTGAGCACGGTAATCTCTCTGTTCGTTTATAATTCGTACTTTTTAGCTTATTTATTTAGCTGGAACTGTGTTTTTCTCTCATAATAAATCAGCCGGAACAGTGTTTTAGTTTATTTTTTTTTATGAAGCGAACGGAGCCTTATTGATACTGACTGCAGCTCAAAAAAAATAGCAGCACTCTAACATCGCCAACTTTCTCCACCAGGTTGAGATTGTGATGGGCCTCGAGGAGGCATTCAACATAACTGTCGACGAAACAAGCGCACAGGACATTGCAACGGTGCAGGATGCGGCGGACCTTATTGAGAAGCTTATGCTGGAGGCACCTCCAAAGGTTGTCTAGATCCATCAACCTTGTCGATCGACGACTTTGCATTCGATCTCTGTTGTATGTTAAATTGTTCATGTTACCCATTTGTTCTTTCTTGATGATTCAAGATGAGATTTTGTATTGATGTTGCTGAGGTAAATTAGATGATCCAAAGGCTACACGAAGCAGATGAAGACAATGTATTCCACTTTGCATTTGTATGTTGTACTACTATAGAGAAACCAACGAACTATTATGAAGAAGTCACTGCAACTATGGCTTTTGATTTTTGAGAAGTCTCACACATGAAAGTCTGAATCAGATGCAGTTGAGCTTGGGATACAGATTTGCAAATACCAGGTGCTGCCCCATTGCGTTGTTTAACCACAAGCGTTGATGAGTTTCAGCTTTGTGATTTCTCGATACCAACTTGAGTTGTAGTAAACCAGATTAAGGACAGGATTAACAACAAAGTCTTTAATGAGAAAACTAGGGTAATGGAACACATCGGTCACGTTCGCTTCGCTGAAAAAATAAGCTGAAACATTGTTCCGGCTGATTCGTTGTGAGAGAAACACACTGTTCCGACTAAAAAAACAAGCTGAAAAGTACGAATTATAAGGCAAGCGAACAGAGCAATAACCATAATTTTATCCATCTAGGAAATTTTACTGTTACCTATAAAATCATCATGATATCATTACGAAATTCAACTTTCAGCGATGAACTGTAGCATTGGTCACAAACTGTCACAGGAGAACAGTGCCACTCAACTTCACAGGATCCAGCGCGCAAGGAAGCTTGGAAGGTGACACGACAGTCTGGATTTGAAACAAATGAAATCCACAATTTTCCCCCGAAGAACGCTGACCTCAGAAAAAATGACCCGGTTCGCCGAGAGGAATTTAGAGGAAGTTGGATGAATCGAAAGGAACTTGTGAGAAGGTAAACAGTGTTTTTAAGTTATGAAACAGTAAATTCCGGCTGATTTTAAGGTCATATGAACCGGACTGATATAGAAAGATTTTTCTAAAAAAAAAGAAGAGAGAAAAATGTCATCTTCTACCTCCTTGGCTGCCCTTCCTCTCCATGGCCGCCTCCATTCCCCTCCCCCTCCGTCAAAGGCGCAACCTTTGAAAGGTCCTTGTTTGGTTTTGGTAATTGAGTGACAACCTAGGTGGACTAATTGTGTTTATGTGAGATACACAGGTGATTAGTCCACAGGTACATGTGTATGAACAACATATGCCATGGAGGTGAAAATGGCTTGGAGATGTTGCAAAGCTCACACATGTGATGATGAAGGAGCTTATTGCACATGAGACATGACATTGAGTCATGTGATCAAGGTGGAGAAGATCAAGACAAGACTTGGCTTGATGGACCGGTTGCAAGCGTGAAGGGCAAGTCAAAGGCTTTGGAGTGATGACCGCGTGGCGGTGAAGCTTGAGCAAGACTTGGCGCCGATGGACGATAGCAACGGTGAAGAGCAAGTAGAGTCAAGATCGATGAACCAATATGATCATGTGATGATATGAAGTGGATCATATCATTGTTGATCGTGTTGGTGCATGTGTTGCATCGACATTGAAGGAGATGGAATGGAATGCGCAAGGCAAAGATATAACTTAGGGCATTTCATTTCACCGGTCATAGGTGTGTAGAGAAGTTTATGACCGGGTTTAGGATAGATGGCCGTACTATCAAGAGGGGCAAACTTGTTTGCATATCGGTCATCTAGTGCCACTCGAGTGATCTAACTTTGCATTGTCGCTAGGATCGAGTGGCGTGGCAAGTTGAGTGGCTAACATCCTTTGGAAAATGATTGTGAAAATGCTAACACACATACACATGGTGGTGTACACTTGATGGTGTTGGCACATTTACAAAGGAGGTGGTGTTTGCAGGGGTGAGATGGGTTTGGGTCCCTCTCTCCCTCCCGCCGAGTTAGCTCGGCGGGATTCGGCGCTTTCGGGGAAATAGAATGCCTATTTTCTATTGCGCCGGATGCAAGTTCTTGTGGTTAGCACATTGGAGAAAGGGTGATGAAGTTAGAAGTGAAAATGAGTTAGTCGCGAAGATACTGGCGTCGGTCAACCCGACCGGACGCCGGATCTCAATGCACCGGACGCCGGGCAAAGGCGTCGGGCGGTCAGCCGACGTCTCGATGACGATAGAGCTGGAGTGTGACCGGACGCCGGCTGCGTCCGATCAAGTGTGACCGGACGCGCGTCCGGCCGAGGTCGGTACTTCATCGAAACGACCGGATGCTTGGGGTTCAAAGTCCGGGTCGCTTGAAAGCCTTCTTCGTCCGTCAAGTCAAGTGACCATTGGAATCGGGACACGTGGTCGTCTGCGGGCGACCGGACGATGGGACGCCGAGGTCCAGCGTCCGGTCAACACGACGACGAGCGTCCGGCCGGGTCCGACCGTTGTCCAGCTGAAGGGGTAACGGCTAGTTTAGCCCTTGGGGCTATAAATAGAAGTGGCCTCGGCCATGGCTAGTGCTTGAGCACCTCAAGGGACTTAGTGTCCATGCTTGTGAGTGCTTGAGCCCTCCATCACACATATACTTGATAGTGATCATTCGATTGTGTGAGTGAGCGATTCTAGTGCGATTGCATCGTGAGGTTGCATCGAGTGGCACTAGGTGGTCGTGTTGCAAGCCGGTGGTGCTTGTTACTCTTGGAGGTTGCCACCTCCTAGACGGCTTGGTGGTGGTCTCCGTCGAAGCCCGCAAGAAGCTTGTGCGGCGCTCCGAGAAGTGCTTGTGAGGGTACTTGTGCTGCGCCTCGCGGAGTCATGAAGAGCAACTTTAGTAAAGCGTGTCATTGAGCTACCTCACTCAAGGGGTAGGTTCTTGCGGCGCCCGACGTGCGGGCTTAGCGGGTGATGCTAATTAGCCGCCGAACCACCAAGTGAGCGGTCGACACAACGGGGACTAGTGTGTTGACAAACACGTGAACCTCGGGAGAAAAATCATCGTGTCAACCTTGTTCTTTCCGTTGGTTTGCATCCCCATTACACAAGCTTGCAATTACTTATATATATATCTTAAGCGTGTGTAGTTGCTCTTGTAATTAGATAGCTTGTAGCTAGCTAATTACCTTCTTGCTTGTGTAGCATAGAAGTAGCTCCCTTGCGTGGCTAATTTGGTTTTAGTAACCTTGTTAGTCACATTGCTTAGTTTGTGTAGCTAAGTATTTGTGCTCTCTAATTAGGCGTTGGTTGCCTTGTTATTGAGTATTGCTAGTGAGCTTAGTTAGCTTTGTGCTTTTGCTTACTAGCATGTGTAGGAGCTCTCTTGTTACTTAAAGTACTAGTGGCATAGGTTTGTGTGACCTTGCTACTAGAATTGTTTAGGAGAGCTCTAGCTAGCCCGACACCTTAATTGCTTTATTAGTATCTTTGCAAGGTGCTAGTGAACATATATAGAGGGGTGTAGTCTTGGCTAGACCGATTGTTTTAATTTCGCATTTATATCGGTTAGCCGACACGATTAATTTTAAAAAAGACTATTCACCTACCTTACAACCTTTCCTAGCTCTCCCCAACAACCCTACCCGATTCCCGGCCTCCGCCTCCGTCCGGATCGCCTATCCTCCCCGGTGGCCTCTCCGCGCCGCCGACGGGGAGCGGGACAACCGCGTGCAGGAGCTGAGGGTGCCCGATTCTTGGCTGACGCCTGCTGGAGCAACGCAGGTTCGGTCCCAATTTGGTATTTTCTCGTAATTTCTCTCCCACCGATTCTTGTCGCAGCCTTGTGGTGGTTGCTATAGCTCCCCCTCCAGTTCTTAGGTACTGGTAAACAATCTAGGGTAGTTGTGTTGAACAGACTACGCTCAAGGGGCAGGTTGATGCCTCTCAATTCATACGAAATTTGCACGGGCTCAGTTCGTGCTGTTCAGTGTCCAGACTTAAGAGTTCAGATACTGTGTGTGTCTTGGGTTTCTGGCTGCTCACAAGTCACATTTGCCCCCTTTTCAGATCATGACAATTCATTTCTGTGTCACTTGGGATGTCTGAATTCACGGTGTGGATGGGGAGAGTCGAATCTAGAAATCATCATATGTCCACACTGCATTAGAATCAATTAACAGAACTTACTACTATTTCATTGCACATACACAATGTAACTTACAGTAGCTGAACTCAATTTAGAATGTTGCAGTTCTCATAAGTGAAGGCGCTTATGTGCATTACTGTGAATTGTGATGCTTCCAATCCGGATAGGTGCTTGTGCATCAAAACTTCAAGTTTTTCTGAACTAAAGGCCTACCATGGAGTACCGAAACTAACATGCTTTGTTTTTTTTTCTCGAACACACAGAACTAACATGCTTTGTAATAGCACAAAAAGGAAAAAAGGAAGAAAAAAAAAGATTACCTATTCCCAGCTGCCTGATCATGGATTGTATGGAACTTAGGCACATTGTTGCCTGCTACGAATCACTGAGGAACTTACCTCCATTTTATGTTGATGACCAGGAATCTGAATGGCTGAGGGAGACACTGCACAAGTGGCTAGACGACGAGTACTGCCCGGAGCCGGCCAACGTGGACATCAGCAGCACCGCCGCGCGGTCGCACCGCGAGTCCCTGATAGCGGGGCAGTCCGACCTGGGAGAGATCTTGCTGAAGATGGTGGTCGACCTGGACAAGCTGTCGTACAGGGAGAGCTTCCATGGCCCCTTCTCGGCCGCCAACGCCGCGGTACGTTTGATCACTCAGAGGATGGAGTCACTGCCACATGAATGATGGCGGTGTGCTAGCTGCAGTTTCTACCTGACAGGACTGATCCAATGCGATTGTTCATGGGTGTCGTCGACAGGAAATGGTGAAAATAGGCTCGCGACTTCGTTTTTCTGTTGAAATTCGACAATGTACCATTCTGCTATCAGCTTGTGAATTTGCTGATGAAACGAGCGATGAAACGTGAACGAGATGGGTGGACAGTGGACTTAAGGGAGTGCGTAGCCTTTTCTAAAGTTGTTTTGGGTGTGAATTCGCAGTTGATGTGCAATTCTGGAGCATGTTCGCTTGCTCGTAAACGATCGTAAATTTTCAGCTAGAACAGTATTTTTCTCTTACACCAAATCAGCCAGCACTAAATAATTCACGATCGTTTACGGCCTCCCGAACAGGCTGCTGGTCTACGGAAACTATTCGTTTTGGGGCGATATTTACTAATTTTCATGGGTTCTAACAATTCTTGAGTTGTGATAGATTTATGCCATAGTCATATAAAAGGGGTTGAAGTTTATAGTATTATGCATTGCATCTCCAAAACAACTCAAATGTTTAAAAGAGTTAAATGCACCAGAATCCATTAACTTGTGAGGAGGTTTCAGTTAGCCCCATCAACTTTCAAAGTGACTTTTTTGGTCCATAAATTTAGTATGTGTATCACTTAGGTCCATATCGCTCCACATAAGCTTCTCATACTAACGTGGCCGGCTGACCTGTCCTTCTAAAGAAACTGTTGACGCTTCATTTCGTCAAACATTCTGTGGCCGCGTGAGCAGGTGCCGCCGCCGCCGTTGCGGGCGCGCGAACAAGCCCGCCGCGGCCACGCGGGCGAGGTACGGAGTGCTCGAGGCGGTTGGCGCCGGCGGCCGCGACGCGCGGCACTGAACCGGCATCACGCACGGGCGCCGCCATCCTCCTCCTGGGCATCCCCGCGCGCTCGAGTCCGGCTCCGGCGCGGCGTCCGTCGAGCACGCATGCGCGCGACGGGGTGGCCATGCTCCTGACCGCATTTGCCGGCGGCACCCCGGCGGCGCAGGCTGTGGCAGACGGGCTGTGGCCAGACTGCACCACGTCCAAGCCTCGGCTGCCGGTGCTCCACATCCGGTCCGAGGACTCGACCGAGGTGGGCTCCCAGGAGGGCGTCCACGGGTGACCAGAGACACTGTTGCTCCCAGCCGACTCCTGAGGCTCGGTTTCCGCACGGACGTCCCGCACCGGCAGCAGGTGCTTGCGCGCGGCGCTCGGCTCGACGAAGTCGTCGCTGTCGACCGGCGCGCTGTCGACCGGCGCGTTGATGGAGCTTTTGTCGTCGGCCACGGCCTCAACGATGGAGCAGGCCTAGGGCAAGCGAGAGCGCTGGGAGAGCGAGGGAGGCCAGAGGAAGCGAGCGTGAGTGAGGAGGGTGCCGGTCTCTATATTCATGCACATGGGGGCGAGGTGGCAAGCGAGGGCAGCACAGAGGAGCCACGCGGCGTCACTCTCCTGCCTGTGGTCGGCCACGACGCCATTCGTTTCTCAATCCTGAAGGAAGTAACCAATACTATCGCAAAAATACACGGAAACATCAATCTTTGTCCCCTCTTAACTCCGAGTCCGTTTAGTTTTGGCACAAGCGGTTGTAACAAATGTTGTAGAGCTACGCGAGATCTCCAACTTTTCTTAAAGTGCCAAAGTCTAATTCGGCCTGGTTGGAGAGATACAAGATTCCAAAGTGGGCCTCGCTCTCGACCGCTAGCTGGCTTGGCCATTGCGTCGCGCGGCCATGTCGTCGTCGAAGCGGTGGACGTCCGCCTCCGGCACGGAGCTGCCGAACCAGCCACAACAACATCCCCCGTCGCCGTCTCGATCGCTCGCACGCTCTGGCCATCACGACGCTCGCATGCATGTCGTGGCAGTCGATGGGGAGCCAGGTGGCGTTCCAGGCAATGGTGTCCATCACGGCGCTGGGCATGTACATCGCCTACGCCCTGCCCATCTTCTTTCGCATGACGACGGCGCATAACTCGTTTGTCCCAGGGTCGTTTCATCTCGGGACGCTCTGACCTTTGTCGCCGTCCGGTCGCCGCCCTCCTCTGGGTGGCCCTTGTCACCATGTTGTTCGCTTGCGATGGCGCACTTCGTCGCGGGGTAAACTTCAACTACATGCATTTGGTTGTTGGAGGCGGGGCTCAGTCGCTTTCGGCCTCGGTGCGTGGGTACTCCACGCCCGGTTTTGGTTTCGAGGGCTGTCACCACCATTGACGCGCCGCGGGGTTCTCGTTCTCGCTGCGCTGCGCGGCCTCCTCGCTTCCTCCGCGCGCCGCACGATGGCGCCGCCAAAGCACCACTTTCATGGCCGACATGTGCACCGGTTCCGTCCGGGTGCCCCGGTCGCGAGCTCCTAGGCGATCGCGGCGGCTCGGCGGACGCTCTTGGTGTCTTGCGCGCCACGGCCATAGCCACGGCGAAGAGCGCGAGGTCGGCACCCATCCGCCGCCGCAGTGAGCTCAGCCTTGCAGCGGGGCGGTGAGCCGGGGCGGTGGCCGCACCAAAGACGCGCGGTTGTACACGGCTACCAAGACGGTGAGCGTTAGGATGGCGAAGACGCCGAAGGAGGCCGCGGGGATCTCCATCTTGCCCACCGTAGCTCCCTCCGTGGCCACGTCGGCGACATGACGAATGCCACGGAGACGGAGAGCCAGACGATGTTGAAGGGCACCTCCCGCTTGTTGACACGGTACCAGAGCCGCGACAGCGGCATCGGGCCGTCCCTGGAGAAGGCGTACCCCATCATCGAGTTGCTTGGTCATGGACGCCGTGCCGTAGAGGAATATGGCGACGGCCATGGCCGCCAGGCACAGGACACCCCCACCGCCGCCGCCGAACCTCTGTCGGAAGGTGGTGTACAGGGCTTGCGCGATGGCCTTCCCGGCGGCGTCGTTGGTAGGGTCCAGGAGCGACGGGATGTCGGTCACCATGGATGTCAAGGCCACCAGGTAAATCCATCCGAAGACGCTCGACGGGATGTCCCATGCGTGCTCGACAGACGCCGCGCCGGAGCCGGACTCGAGCGCGCGGGGATTCCCAGGAGGAGGATGGCGGCGCCCTTGCGTGATGCCGGTTCAGTGCCGCGCATCGCGGCCGCCGGCGCCAGCCAAGCCTCGAGCACTCCGTACCTCGCCCGCGTGCCCGCGTGACCGTGGCGGGCTTGTTTGCGCGCCCGCAGCGATGGCGGCGGCACCTGCTCGCGCGGCCACGGGATGTTTGACGAAATGAAGCGTCAACGGTTGCTTTAGAAGAACAGGTCAGCAGACCACGTCAGCGTGAGAAGCCTATGTGGAGCGATATGGACCTAAGTGATACACATGCTAAGTTTATGGACCCAAAAAGCTACTTCGAAAGTTGATGGACCTAACTGAAACATCCTCACAAGTTAACGGGTCTCTGGTGCATTTAACTCTATTTAAAACTACTCCCTCCAGGTTGGCAAAAGAAGTTGTTTTTGTACAGTGACACGGTCTCCAAAGCATAACTTTGACTTCTATTTTTATAAAAAATATTTATTGAAAAATAATATATGTATATTTTTATGAAAGTATTTTTTAAGACAGATCTATTCATATTGTTTTCATATTTTCAAACTCAACAACTTAAAAATTATTCATGATTTATATTTCCAATGTTTGACTCAAACCTTATCCCAAGACGACTTCTTTTACCGACCTTGCAAAAATAAGTACATGAACCCATATTAAATTAAAAACAAGAAGAATTATCTCCCCCAAGAGAGCCGCTGGTGTTGTGGCTCGATCCGATCTCTATCGTCTGGCTAAGAATGCCATAGAGTGGGTACAACTTGCTCTATCGACCAGCTCCATCCGATCTCTATCGTCTGGCTAGGAATGCCATGGAGTGGGTACAACTCACGTTACTGACCGCTAGTTGGCGGGTACTTTCATACATCCACGTGCTACCGTCTTAGCAATTTAGCATGCCCCAGTGGCAAAGAGTGGCTTTGCTAGGAGCTTCCAGGATACGTTTGCGTGCCACCGTCCTAGCAATTTAGCATGGTCCGATGGCAAGAGTGGCTATCTCCTTGGTGCCGTGTCCATGTGCCACCATCTTGTTGGCGCGGGCGCTATGCCAATGCCAAGAGTGTGCAGCCATTTTGCTTTATTGCTCTTGTCACATTGAGTTTTTTTTTTCCCTAACTTAGGTTTTAGATTTGGCCGAGCTTCCTTTTACTTTTGTGCCCAATGGGCAACCATCTCGTTGCCCATGTAGTCGTGACACGCCCACTCCAGCACGTCAGTCCTTTTGAAAAACAAAAATGAGGTCCCACCTCCAGCCAAAAGAGCCGGCGGTGGCCGGCAGCCAAAACTTCGCCGCTGCCGCCAGGAGCTAGGGGACAAGGCAACGCCGGCCGGCACATTTATATATGGTGTACCAGGCAGCCCAGCCCGCCACGTGTACTCTTCTGCTGCAGAGCTAAACGGCGAGCTGCTCTGCTGCTCCCACCAGCCACCGCTCCGGGTGCCAATGGCGACTGCAGCGACTTCGACGCCGGCGGCGTGGCAGCCTACGCTGGTCTGCGCGACACTGACTGCGCGGGTGCCCCGGGAGATGGCAGCGGAGGTGGACGCCGCGGCCGCGCTCGGTGCCGACGTGGCGGAGCTCCAGGTTGGCTGCCTCGACGGCTTTGAGCCGCGCAGGGACCTGCCCGTGCTTCTCGCCCAGCCCCGTCCGCTCCCCGTCATCGTCTCCTACAGGTTCTTGCATCGCATCTTCTCTCCGTAGACACACCTCCTTGGCGCATTCTGTGAGAACTGGCTGGTTGTACAATTGAATGGGGGAAATGTTTTTTCTTTGTAAATTTTCAGATTGTGTTTCTATTGTACCATCAGAGGAATAATATGTGTTTGCCTAGTTAATCTCGTATGAAAGTATGTATGTTTCTTGGTTTTGGTTGGGCAGGCCGAAATGGGAGGGAGGCCAGTACGCAGGCGAAGATGAGCCACGGTTTGAGGCGCTTCTACTGGCAATGGAGCTGGGAGCTGAATACGTTGATATCGAGTTCAAGGTTGGCTACGTCCTCACTCCTTTTAATCTCATTTCAGGATATCACAATTCACAAGACTAGCTTGCAGGGCAAAGAATTTCTCCTTATCCAGTTGATTTCAGAATCATTTTGTGAGGCTTGGTGAATTCATAGCTTTATGTGTGCAGTACTACTGAATTGGATATCTGAGAGTTCAGAGTTGGATTAGATTTCAATGCAGTTTTCTTCTTGTGCTTAATTACATGTCTTCGGGACAAGTGAATCTCTTTTCAATTGATCACTACTCACTATTGCCTTGCTGCTCTGCAGGTCGTTGACAAATTTATGAAGTTTTTGTTTGGGAAGAAACCTCAAAACTGTAAGCTCATTGTTTCAGCATACGACTACGAGAGCACTCCCTCGGTCAATGAACTTCTGAATTTGGTGGCTCAGATACGAACAACAGGGGCTGACATTGTGAAAATTTTAACCACTGCTGCTGACATTGTAGACGCATCAACAATGTTTCAAGTACTTGCACATTGCCAAGTGAGTTTTAGTGTATCCAAATTTTTTCCATATCATGCCATCTGTGCTGACCCTTAGCTTAGGTTTATAAAGATTATGTGTCCTTAAAAGTCTGCTTGACTCAGATATGAACTTTTGCTAAATTATCCGTGGCACTCCCAGGTTTGTGCTAATTCTAAAACAATCTAGTGCACTTCCAATCTCCAGCAAGTACGCCGTTGTAAGTATAGCTGGTTTGCTGGTGACTAAACACGGATTATAATTGGAGAGCTAGGGGCTAGGCTGCTACACTTTTGGATTTCTTCAGATCCAACGCTCACATTTCAAGAATGCAGTAATGAAATCTCTGACCTGTTATCACTAAGACCAAAAAAGACTATATTTTCGGAGAAACCATTCAGGGAGGCCCCTAGTGTGGTATACTTGAATAAGATAAAAAACATGAAGTCATATACAAAATGGACAAATAAAGGATATACATTTAGCAATTCACGTGATGACTGTAGGCCTGTAGCCATTGAACTATTTATTTTCTGAGGGAATATTTCACCCGAGGGAAATTTCTTTTTCAAAGCCTCCTTCCATGAATCATATATATGATGGTAAGATTGCACTAGGGATATGCACAAATGATGGTGTAGTGGTTTCCACACAAAAAAATATTATCCTATGTGTTAGTTTCAATGCTTCATTTTTCAGTTTCTATGATTCCCAGTTCACATGATCTTTTTATTTGAATAATGAGCTAGGAAAAGCAGGTTCCTATCATTGGGCTGGTGATGAAAGAACAGGGTTTTATTTCTCGGATTCTTTGCGCAAAATATGGCGGATACCTTACTTTTGCATCTCTTGAGAAAGGAAAAGAATCTGCCCCCGGGCAGCCGACGGTATCAGACTTGATAAATAAGTACAAAATTAGGCAGATAGGCCCAGATACTAAGGTCTTTGGTATTATTGGAAATCCAGTTAGCCATAGTAAAAGCCCAATTGTGCAAAATCAAGCTTTCAGATCAGTGGGTTTCGATGCTGTGTTTTTGCCATTTTTGTCAGATGACTTGGTTAAGTTTCTTTCTACCTTCTCAGCACCAGATTATGCCGGCTTCAGGTAAAATCATAATTTGTTGCAATGATTTTTTGCTATATCCTTATTTACTCAATTTTATAGTCTATCCCCCATGTCTGACCATCCAATACTTTCTTCGATCCAATTAATTGAACTGTAGTTGCACAATGCCCCATAAGGAAACAGCACTTAGGTGCTGTGACGATGTCGACCCTATTGCCAGGGTAATTTCATTCCCATTTCTTCTCCTATGTATTCTATGAAAAAATACACACACCAAGAGTAACATTTGTAAGAAAGACACCTTCTCCAGGACATTGGAGCTATTAATACAATTATTAGAAGGCCTGATGGAAAACTTGTAGGATACAATACGGACTATTCTGGTGCTATTTCTGCTATTGAGGATGGAATAAGAGGTTTCCACATGCCACCACTTACAATATTGTATTTTGCTGATCTATATATGGTTCGTGTAACTGCCTTTTAACCCCATTTGCAGCATCACAACCAACAGATTCGACCACTTCGCCACTGGCTGGAAGGCTTTTTGTTGTTATTGGGGCTGGTGGTGCAGGGAAAGCACTAGCATATGGTGCAAAAGAGAAGGGAGCAAGAGTTGTGATTGCAAACCGTACATTTGGTATTTATTTCTTCAGGATGATTCTACTCAACAAATTTAATCATACAACTGCATAGTTTACATGATAGGCATCCACATTTTACAGTGTCTAGGATGTGATCTTATAAGCAATTTATTTCACTGAATACTGACAATTCATGATCTTTTAATCAAATTTTAAAATATCTTGTCTATTGGCATTGCCTTATATCTCAAAGCTAAGCATTCACATTAGATATAACTGCTCTATGACTATGACAACTTGTGTATTTGATTTTTAAAATGAGGCCACGATTTGTAAGTTAGGCCTTGCAGACCTTAACCTATTTTGGGTCCAAACTCCAAACTCCAAAGTTAACGATTATTCCCAGTTTATAGACTAGTTGCTTATTCAATGTGCTCTTATTAGCCTTTGGAAATTCCATTATGTTCTAGTCATGTTTTCTAGCATTTTATTTGCTCTGAAACTTTTCTTGGCCGCCTAATATCCTTTTGTAAGATAAAAATGTGATTGATTGCATTGAGATTTCAAACTTTCCAGCACGAGCTCAAGAACTTGCCAACATAATTGGTGGGACTGCTTTGACCCTGTCAGAGTTGGAAAACTACCATCCCGAGGAAGGGATGATTCTTGCAAATGCGACATCTGTTGGGATGCATCCAAATGTCGATGAAATTCCATTATCTAAGGTCTTAGACTCGCTTGACTAATTGAACCGTCATCTGTTACCAGTATATTCTGGCTTTTTCTAATTTCGTGTATTGACGCATGATGATCCTGTAGGAAGCACTAAAATCCTATGCCGTTGTCTTTGATGCGGTCTTCGTGCCACGAGAGACTAGACTTCTCCGAGAAGCTGCAGCGTGTGGAGCCACGGTTATTGACGGTCTGGAGATGCTAATCAGGCTAGTGATGGTTCAGTTTAAGCTTTTCACAGGGGGCATGACAGGTACTTCTCATTCCATTTATCATTGTCCAGAAAGATAATGTCGGTTCGTCTTATAAAAATTTCCCAATGAACTCACCCTACAGTTCCAGAAAAGTTGATGCGTGAGGCTATCCTGACAAAGACACATTGAGGGGTGTCCAGATAACAAGGTCTCTGCAGATATCATGGTTTCTGCAAAAATGGTTCCAGTTGTACATATGTCCTCCTTCCTGCTTCTTCCTCAACGTCTGGGAAGCACCGTATTTGATTGATGATTCTTCAACACAAGCGGGGAGGAGATGCAGGTTTCGGCCTCATCCTGTTTCTCTTGCTGCCTGCAATGATGCAGTGTCGTTTTCATCACATCACATTCCTCCAGGGTTTTGGACTCGCCTGTTGTTCAGTAAACAATATGCTCTAGTTGAACAATGTAAAGATGTTTTGGTTTTCAGGTTGATGAATTGGTCATGTTAATGTGTTTTGGATCGACATTGCTAAGAATTTATCTGTCATCCAAATGCAGACGTGCACCAGTTCCATATTCCCTTCAAGATTTGGATTCAGAGAATCGTTTCCTGAATAAACAATTTTTTTTTTACATTTGATTTGAGTAATTTGATCGCGCACTTCGACGGGCGTGCCCATGTGTTCCATGCACCTACGATTCAAACCAATCGCGACGCGCCACGTTGGATTCCGCCGGCCCCACAGCGCGAACGAAGCTGCGCCGGCGGCACCCACATAGACAGTCCACCTCCACCACCAACCCACCGAAACTGCAGCTAAACCCCCCTCTTCCTCCGTTCCTCCTCGCACCAACCGCGACGCAAAGCCGCCGGCTTCCCCCCGATGGCGACGGCGATGTCGGTTTCGGCGGTGACCCCGGCCGCCGCGGCGGTGGCGCGGCGGCGGACGATGGTCTGCGTGCCGGCGACGGCGCGGGCGCCGCGGGAGATGGCGGAGGAGCTGGCCGCCGCCGCCGCGCTCGGCGCCGACCTGGCGGAGCTCCGCCTCGACTGCCTTGCTGGGTTCGCGCCGCGCAGGGACCTGCCCGTCATCCTCGCCAAGCCCCGCCCGCTCCCCGCCCTCGTCACCTACAGGTGGGTGTGGGTTCGGTTCGTCAGCGCCTGGCCTCCCTGCCTCAGGGTTGGTGGGCGTGCAGGGGATTAGGTTCTTACTTCTCCTTGGAGGCAGCTTTTTGGCGCACTGCGATTCCGGATTCGATTGGGGGAATCGTAAGGCATTTACAGAGGTTTCAGCTGGTTTAGTTTAGACGTTTAGTGTAATTGAGTGGAGCAAAATGGGGGCTAATTTTGTATCAACATTTCAGTTATTGCAGTGTTACTAAGCAAAGTGAGTGTTGCTTGGTTTTGGTTGCACAGGCCCAAGTGGGAAGGGGGCGAATACGAAGGCGATGACGAATCGCGGTTTGAGGCTTTGTTATTGGCAATGGAGCTGGGAGCTGAATATGTGGATGTTGAGCTTAAGGTTGGCTCTTCCCCTATTTTTCTTTCACCTCATGAAGTCAATAAAAAAATGTATTTCTGTATTTTACTGCACTATTTTTTTTTTCTTGGTGGCTCAGTGCCGACAAATATAATCTTGTAACTTGGGTGTAGTGCAATTCTAGTTGATTATTAGGTATTTGAGATTTCGATATTCTCATGACTTTCAACCCTATGAGACAGGCACTGATTTGAATCCCTGTCCACAGCTGGCAGTTGTTAAGCTTGTTTGGTTATCATGTGTCATTAAAAATAATAGTCTTCTGATAACCAAGTTAGCGTAGGCTAGAGATGAAACCCAAGAAGAGCCACTTGAAAAAAAAAAGATAGTAATGATATGAAACAGGTACTAAAATATTAGTAAAAGATGCTCGATATTCATGTACTGATAATGTCAATTAGCCCTGCTATCCTTTAAACCAGTGAGGGTGAGTCTGGAGTTGATCATTACATTGTGTTGTGCAGGTGGCTGACAAATTTATGAAACTTATTTCTGGGAGGAAACCTGATAACTGTAAACTTATAGTTTCATCCCACAACTATGAGAGCACTCCATCATCCGAAGAACTTGCAAATTTGGTGGCTCAGATTCAAGCAACAGGGGCTGATATCGTGAAAATAGCTACAACTGCTACTGAAATTGTTGATGTGGCAAAAATGTTTCAAATACTTGTTCATTGCCAGGTGATTTAGCATCTGACTATTTTTCACTTCTGCATATATGAATTTTGTTCATGGAATTTCAGTTTGCATTTCCTAGGAGTTTAGTCTATCTCACTATTGTTTATTGCTCTGTGACATGCAATTTGCTGCTGATACTTTGTTGTCATATTATAGTGTTGGTTTGTCAACAAATACGTACTGTTCGTAGCCTCCCAGCAATCTGCTACTTTGAGAAAAAGCTTCTTAGCTACCATTTTATCAAGTGAGTTGTACTATGATAAAACCATTGTTACTGCTGGCCAATGAACTTGAATTTCAATGGGAACTAGACTGAAATTACACTCTGTATTTAACTTAGCTAAAATTTCAATTTCTACTCTTTGGTGCGAATATCTGATTTGTCACCTAAAAAATTAAAGGTATCTGCTTGGTGCTTTGTTTCTACTGTAATAGCTGTTAAAAGTAATTACACATTTTGATATCATAATCTTTAGCACAGCAGCACAAGACGGTCGGTGAACTTCTTAATTAAGAACACACTTATGATGCACAAATATCGGTTTAGAGCTTTTCTCTTGACAAAGGTTTTGTGCTGTTTGTTGATTTCCATGCTTCATTCCTCAGTTGCCTTTACATAACTCATAGCTCATGTTATCTTGTATCTGAATAATGAATTAGGAAAAGCAGGTGCCAATCATTGGGCTGGTGATGAATGACAGAGGTTTTATTTCTCGGGTTCTTTGCCCAAAATATGGTGGATTCCTTACTTTTGGGTCTCTCAAGAAAGGAAAAGAGTCTGCACCTGCACAGCCAACGGCTGCAGACTTGATAAATGTGTACAATATTAGGCAGATAGGCCCAGACACTAAGGTCTTTGGTATCATTGGGAAGCCGGTTGGCCATAGCAAAAGCCCAATTTTGCATAATGAAGCTTTCAGATCAGTGGGTTTCAACGCTGTGTATGTGCCATTTTTGGTGGATGACTTAGCTAAATTTCTTAATACATACTCTTCACCAGATTTTGCTGGCTTCAGGTAGTTAATTTTTTAGTGAGCAAAATCATATGTTGCAATGATGTTTGTTTTAGCCAAATGTACCTCATATCTGATCAGACCTTTTTTTTTTCTTTCCATCAAATCAACTGGACCACAGTTGCACAATTCCCCATAAAGAAGCTGCTGTTAGGTGCTGTGATGAGGTTGATCCCATTGCCAGGGTAATTTTCTTTTGCTTGTCACGTAAAGAACTGCTGAACATTTTAGCACAACTAGGGTTACATTCAGAAGTATGATGCTTTATCCAGGACATCGGAGCTGTTAACACAATCGTTAGAAGACCTGATGGAAAGCTTGTTGGCTATAATACTGACTATGTTGGAGCTATATCTGCTATCGAGGATGGAATAAGAGGTTTCTACACGTGACTATAGTATTGGTAAATTATTGCTGATCGATGTTCAGTTCTAAAAGGCCGATTTGCAGCATTCGAACAAAGGGATCCAGACACATCACCACTGGCTGGAAGGCTTTTTGTTGTCATCGGGGCTGGCGGCGCAGGAAAAGCACTGGCATATGGAGCAAAAGAGAAGGGAGCAAGAGTTGTAATTGCAAACCGTACTTTTGGTATAGGACTCTTCTGGACACTTCTGCTTCGTTGATTTTTATCATTAATTTGCACACACTGATTGCTGTGTTGTGAAAATGTGATTGAGAAACATGTATACGTTGAGACCTGAGTCAACTCTTCCACTTTCCAGCACGTGCACAAGAACTTGCCAACTTAATTGGTGGGCCTGCGTTGACTCTGGCGGATTTGGAAAACTACCATCCAGAGGAAGGGATGATTCTTGCAAATACAACAGCCATTGGAATGCATCCAAATGTGAATGAAACTCCTTTATCTAAGGTCTTAATCCAGCTTACCTGTTTTTGTTTTTGCCAATTTTAATCGAGATATTCTGTCTTCTTCTGCTAGTCTACTGACTAAGTATTATCTTGCAGCAAGCACTCAAATCTTATGCTGTTGTGTTTGATGCGGTGTACACACCAAAAGAGACAAGACTTCTCCGAGAAGCTGCAGAGTGCGGAGCTACAGTTGTTAGTGGTCTGGAGATGTTTATACGGCAAGCTATGGGCCAGTTTGAGCATTTCACAGGCATGCCAGGTACTTTGATTGGCCTTTTCATATTTCATTTCATGATTAAGCAATAGTCATTAGTACATCTTACACCATTTCTCACATGGCTCGCCATACAGCTCCAGATAGCTTGATGCGTGATATTGTTCTGACAAAGACATAGTAAGGTTTGTCCAAAGAGCAAGCTTCCCTTCAATCGTAATTTCTGCACAATTGATTCCAGTTGCGTTCCCTCCTCGTCCTTCCTGCTTCTTCCTCAACCTGTAGAAACCACCCCTTTTATCTCAGGTGTTGACATAGGTTTCATCTTATGACATTTTTCTTATTACTTACCAAGATTTAGTTTCATTATCTTTGAAAGTTTGAAGTATTTCAGTTCTGTTGTTTATTCAACAAACAATAAACTGTTTCAACATTTTTAAGAGTTCTGCCTCGGTTCCTCCTCTCATCAAGGCTGCAAACACTGTTAGATCTTTGATTTGTGCAAGAACTGTGACACAATCAATTTGATATATGCTGAGATCAGTTTTATCTGGCTACAGTATGCGCATCCGCTGACTGATCATAATGAATGGCAGCTACTTAATAGTTCCTTCTTCCCTTACTTTCAGTGGATGATTACAAATTCCGAGCGATTGCAAGTTCGTTGGACAACCGTAACACCATGAAGCCTCGTCTGTGAGAGATTCATCCATGCCCAAGAATGTCCTTATTTTTTCTTTGCTTTTTTAGATTTGGATTCTGTGACTAGTTTGCCTCTCAGCCATTGTAAATTAGATGTTCCGAGCTGAAACATTTTGGTGTGCGTTATTTGTATCAGCATAAAATTTGCGTTCCCCTAGACCCCTAATGTGCACATCAAAGAACAGCAAGAAAGCTTTGCATGACATTTTGTAGTAGGAAATATGTGGTTATTTGAAGCAAGCATGGTGTTCCCCATAAGAACCACGGATTCGGTTTGCTTGTAG